CCCCCCAGGAAATTCTGGATATCCAGCAACGCCACCAAAAGCAGAGTTTGAACTAGAGCTGTTTGACACCCAGGAGTCCCAGGCAAACCGAATTCCCCAAAAGACTTCCTCCAGGATTCCTCCCCAAACTGCTGCTAAACGGAGTTTGTGGACCTCTCTAATGAGGTTGGTGAACGAGGCCAACTGCCACATGGCCTGATGATGGGCTCTAAGTCCATCGCGTCAGCCCAGGGCCAAGGAAAGCACCTTCAAGCAATTAATCTTTCCGAGCCGGAGGAGCACGTTCGGATTAAGCACGGAGGAAATGCAGCCAAGATGGGCAGAGGACACCCCTTCAGTAGTATTACACTTTATTTTAAAAACCAGACAAAACCTGAGCCCTGTTTTCTGCATTCTCTTTCACGGAAGTAAAGGATTCAAGAACAAAGTCTCAGCAGTTCTTTTTTCCCTCATCCCACTGTACGACAACTTACTGTGACAAGCCTCCAGCTCTTTGGGCAACTTGGGGCTGGTGAAACCTGCCGCTACTTTGTATGTGACTTCCATGTCAAATTATTACCGAAAGGCTATTAAGCAGTGCCATCCCCATCACCTTTCTTTTTGCTGGATCTCAGAGGTTTCCATTGGATGCCTCAATATTACCACTGGACCACACGCTACCGTCAGACAATAGCTATCTCCAGGGATACTGGTACCTGGTTTTATTTATTTATGAGATATAAAAAGAAGAAAAGGTTTAGAGCACACACAGAACACGTCCATCAAGGTCCACCCCTGTCGCGAGCAGGCATAGGTACGTCAGCAGGAAGGCCACGCTCTTGTGTTCCAGCCATACCATGATCTAATACAGCAGGCAGTTTTTCTTAGCAAGCCAGTCACCTGTCTGTCAGAAGCAGGAGGCAGATGATTCAAGTTGCATTACCCTCTCCTAACACTTAATTAATGACAGTATTTGGGGATACTACATCAAACGACATCCAGCATGTGTTACTCTTCCACGGCGAAGGGGCATGGGGAGATACTCATGTTGAGATGTAACATCTCTGATGGAGACACCCAGAAAAGAGAAAAGTTTCTCCAAGTTACCCTTGGCCAGTGCAATCAGGCTCTTTCCTTTGCAAGCCTTTCCACAGGGAAACCTAGTCAAGGGTCTAACTTAGTATTTAGCAAGTCCAAAACCAATCTGGGTTTGCTGGGAAAATCAACCTTGGGGGACCTTGGAGATGTTTGCATTGCAACGGCACCCAAGATGATGTGTGCATGGATGGAGGGGAAGCCAGCACTCAACTCCAAGACATAAACCAATATGTTAACAGGCTCCAGCGGGGCAACCGACAGACCGTGGCTGTGTCAAGAAAGCTGATGTTTTAACATCAGCTGCTTTTTGCAATCCACCGAGAGTGGCTTCAACGTCACATCGGTAACCGCCAAACGACGGGCAAGCTGGGCACAGCAAGGTATCTCTTCAAATATTTAGAGGTTCAAAGTGAATTATTCTGTGGATTTGCATTAAAAATACCGGTCTTTTCCTACAGAACAATAAGTATTCATGGGTTTTTTAACCTAAACTAGAATGCAGTGAGATTCATCATTTGTCTAGTCCACATTTCAATTTCTTTGCTTATGGTTCTTTCATTGTGCCCAAGTATCCCATTCTTCCTTGCTTTTATGCCTTTAATTTTGCCCTGCAGAATAGCCTAAAAATCACTATTTACAACTGAACAGATAACTCGCACTTATTTTAATACCCTCTCCCTGCTCAAAAAAAACCCAAAATCATAATTACACCCAAACTCGTAAGAAAATACAAAACCAAGAGAAACCCCTATGCTTCTTTTATATTTGCATCCAGGGGGAACAGCTATTTGCAAAACAACAAAATGTTTCCCGAAGAACATTTGCAACTCTCAGAACTTGAAAACCAACTCAGGCTTCATTAATGAACAGCCCAGCTGAAATCAAAGGCGAGTGAAGAGAGGGGCGATGTTCTTCCCTGGTGCAAGGAGATAACACATTCCTTTGTCACGTAACAAGGTCCCCTTTGCTGATGCTTCTGCAGAGGTCTGAACTACCGGTCATGTCTACAGCATAGCCACTGCTCACCCAGCAGCACAAGCCAGACCCAGGCCCAAAATTAAATGCAAAAATATGCTCCAGCTAACAAGGCTTACTGAAAGACAGACTAGATTCCCCAGATCAGACCCTACAGCAATTCTCCATCTGGACCAGGAGCTCGCATGTGTCTGGGCAGCTGGAGAGGTGGTATTGTCTGCCCGTGCCCACAAGGGCTGGCCCCTCAAACGGCAGCTCAGCAGCAGGCAGGATGAGACCTGCTTTCCGCCTCCAGGCACAATCCATCCACATGCCAACAGGGATAAGCATCGCACAACTCACTGTTCTTCTGGCAAAGGATCCCTCCTACAACGTGCCTGTGTCAAGGAGGGGAAGCAGTAGAGTCAAAGCCTTCAGCACAGAAGTGGGAGGTTATGTCATTAGCAATGTGAACTTGCAGCCCAGAAATCCAACTGTATCCTCGGCTGCATCAAAAGAAGCATGACCAGCAGGTCGAGGGAGGGAATTCTCCTCCTCTGCTTCACTCTTGTGAGTCCCCCCCCTGCAGGGCTGTGTCCTACTCTGGGGATATCAACATCAAAAAGACATGGACCTGCTTGAACGGGTCCAGAGGAGCCACAGAGATGCTGGGGGGGGCTGGAGAACCCCCCTGTGAGGACAGGCTGAGAGAGTTGGGGGGTTCAGCTGGAGAACAGAAGGCTCCGGGGAGACCTTAGAGCAGCCTCCCAGGGCTGAAAGGGGCTGCAGGAAAGGGGGCAGGGACTCGTCATCAGGGAGTGTAGGGACAGGACGAGGGGGCTTGGTTTTAAACTGCAGGAGGGGAGATTTAGATTAGATCTAAGGAAGAAATTCTTGACTGTGAGGGTGGTGAGACACTGGCACAGGTTGCCCAGAGAAGCTGTGGCTGCCCCCTCCCTGGAAGGGTTCAAGGCCAGGTTGGACGGGGCTTTGGGCAACCTGGCCTAGATGAAAGTGTCTCTGGCCATGGCAGGGGTTTGGAATTGGATGATCTTTAAGTCCCCTTCCCACCCAAACCAATCTATGATTCTATGTTCCAACAGTTACCTTATGAATTTGCTTTTTTGAAGCACACCTTTGACTTCTACAGTTGGGACCATTTCATATATAGAAGTTGACACCTGAATGCTTTTCTGTTTCTGCTTGAGCATTTCTAGAGTCCTTTGGGGCAAGAGAGAAACAGGCAAGGAAAGCATATCTGGTCTTTGCTTAAAAATATACCACAAAAAAGAGAGTCCACTTTGTGCAAGCCACTGTCCATGGTTTCAGCATATTCTGAGCAAGTTTTTGACCCTGTTGCCACACCTGAGCAGATTTCCCAGATCAAGCAGCTTCCACAGTTGTCAAGTTACCCTCTGTGGAAGCCCAGCCTGCTGCCCTTTGCACATCTTCACATCTACTCCCAAGATCAGTGCACCTACAGCCAACCATAAAACAACCCTTTAGACAAACTTCTGGCAAAGGTGCTGGGGAGAAGACGAAAGACACAAGCAAGTCTAGAGAATATTCCACATTTCTTCTCCTAGTTGCCCAAAATACCTCCAAAACCCTCATCAGCCCTACTCTTCCATGTTTTAAGCCTTAAATCCTGAGTGGGCATACTGGGTCTGGCTGAGATAATTTTCCCCATAGCAGTCCTCATAGCGTTGGGCTGTGTATTGGTAATTAGAAAACGTGTTGATAACACACTGGTGTGTTAGCTACTGCTGAGCAGTGCTCGCAGAGCATCAAGGGTGTCTCTCCATTTCCCCCGCCTCACCCAGTAAGCTGGGGGTGAGCAAGATCTTGGGAGGGGACATAGCCAGGACAGCTGACCCCAACTGATTTAAGGGATATTCCATACCAGATGATGTCTGCTCAGCAAGAAAAGCTGAGAGAGGAGGAAGGGGTGAGGGCATTAGTTATTACAACATTTGTCTTCTGCAGCAACAGCGACATGCCCTACTTTCCAGTGGCTGGACATCACCTGCTGATGGAAAGCAGAGAATAACTCTTGTTTTCAGTTGCTTCCACGCACAGCCTTTCCTTTTGCTTTATTAAACTCCCTTTATCTTGGCCCATGAGGTTTTTTTCCATCTTATCTTCTCCCCCGCTGCCTTGTCCTGCTGAGGAAGAGAGTGATAGAGCAGCTTGGTGGGCACCCCGTGTCCAGCCAAGGTCAACCCACCACAGCATGGTAAGACATTGGTTCCTCATTATACAAATCAAATTCAACAAACGTTTGGTTCTCACCTTTGAAAATCACTACCAGAAATGAGCTTGGGAGAGAGTGTGATATTTATACACCAGCCACACTGAACATGAGCAAGTAAAACTTCAGTCCCCAGTGAGTGAAGCAGAATAAATTACAGTAAGGGATCAATACTCTACCAAGAGGTTGATAGCCTTGTCTCGAAGGGCCTCCAAATGGATTCCTGCTCCCAAATCCACTCCCATCAATGGATCCATAAGACATTTTCTAGATAGCAATGGATGCGGGATTATACTTCAGGCCTAAGAAAACAGAGGAAAAGACAGATACAACAGTGTTAAAAGTCAGTTCAACCCCAGTATTCTATGAAAAAAGACAAAACCAAAAAAAAAAAAGGTAAATAAAAAAACACAGAACTATCTCCAAACTTCAGGATGCCCACCTGGAAAAAATTAAAGTACTAAAATCCAGGTCTCCTGGACTACAGCTGTTCCTGAGGGCAAACAAGTCATTTGACCTCCCCATGCCTTATTTTCTCCAGTGATGTAGGGCAACCATTTATCTCTTTCAGCCATGGCGAGACTTTTAATTCCTTGCTGTTCAAAAAGTGCTTTGAGATCCTGAGCTGGTAGGCAAAGACTAGGCACTCTATCAAAAAAAAGAGGTAATGCTGTCTTCTGGAACATTATCACTGTGCAGCTGGCTAGGAGTCTATCCATCATACTGCAGTCTTGATGAGCTCTCAAAAGAGACAGTTTACTGCTATATTATAAGCTCCTGGGTCTCTAGTATAAATATTGGAGCCAGAGTTATTTTTTTCTTGCTGGTTTAAAAAAAAAAAAAAAAGAAAAAAAAAGCTGCAAGGCCTAAGGTAGAGCAGCAGAATTAAAATCAATGCAGCAATGTCAGAGAAAGACTACTTCTTCCCCCTTCCCACCTCCACATCAACAGGTGTCATCTTACCATGAGCCCCAGAGAGCAGGGTCCCAGGACTTCAATATTAAAAATAATTCATCCCTAAAGCATGGGGGTGATGATGGCAAAGGAAGAGATAAAGGTGCTGCGTCACTTGGGGCATGATACAGCGCCAAACCCAGCTGCTGCTTTCTTACACCAAGGTTATGAAAAAAAACCCCAAACATATATGTGTGTCTGCTTCTAAAAAAGTTAGAAGACAACGCTGCCTATTGAGTAGCCCTTCATCAAGCAGCCATCAGTGATACTGCAGTATAGCAGCAGGGGAGAGTCCAGCGGAGAGGACAAGTTGGAGTGAGATGACTGGTAATACCAACTGCCCTCCGTGTAGGGTGTTGCTCTGTCTATAAATGTCGCTTGCTAACTGAAGGACAACCTGGGCCATAAACAAACCGTCTCCAACACGCACATGTCACCCCTCCAGCGCAACAGCTGAGGATGCTGGGGTGTAAGACTGGATGCAATGACCTGAGCTTGGATACTCAAACTGTGCATGGCCTGGACCAGCCACTTCCCCTCTGATGTGCAAAAAGCTGGGAATGGCCTCCTGTTTGTATGAGCTTCTTGACACATGTTACATGATGAACTGATGTATGCATTGATAGATACCTCAGCAAAGGGCTGAAGTCTCTTTTGGGGTTGTAAGGGACTGTGTCGGACGGTCTGTCTCAAGCATCGCTGTTGCACCACCACCAGTTCCTGGCCTCAGTGTCCCGTGGACACGGAGGAGTACACTCTGGAGAAGAGGAACTGTCCCAGACAAAGCCACGACATCTGCCCAAAGTTAAATCGGGGTGAAGAGGACCACGAGACAATGAGCCCAGTGGAAATGGGTGGGCTTTGTGGAGAAATCTGGGACAATAGAAGGACTGTGTACTCCTCTCTCAGGATCTCTCTCTCTCCCTCTCAGCCTTGTCGTCACTTTTGGAGCTTGGAGCACCATCACCTTCACCAGGACCGAGCCAACGGCACATTGCTGGATCCGTGGTGGTGGTAATTAATCTTGCTGCATCTCTGCCGTTTCCTTGCTTAGGGATTCTGACTCCTCCTTACTTTTTCTCTCTGTCCTATCGCTATTACCAGTTGCATGCAAAATAAAGTTCACAAGGTTGTATGGCATCAGACCTTGTTTGTGTGTGAATCTCACTCTTGGGATCGTTTAAGAACCCTCCCCGATATCGGATCAGGACAGGGGCTCACTGACACAGCGGTGTACTTGCAACTACTCCTTTGGTTTGTCCTCCACAGACAGCAAAGCACCAGAAATTCCCAGTTCTGGATGGTACTGGGAACAGTCTAATGGCCTTAGGCACCTCTTGTACTTCACTCTCCTTTTTTTCTTGCAAAGTTTCAAGACTGTGCTGAGACTTGCCAGACAGAGAAACTCCAGGACTAAAGGCAATCACTCACCATCCTCCCTTAATTGGGCCAGACACATAAACTAGGATAAAAGTGCAACTGCCTTGCGAAAGCAAGCGATGGGAGCTAAACCCATTAAAAGTGGAAAAAATCCAGAACACAGCTTCCCCACCCAGCCTCAGCGTACCATGTATACACATAATTGGCATCTGAGGCTGCAGGAGCCCCGAGGCCATAAATCCTTCATTTTAGGAACAGCCTTCAAGTCCAAACCTATGGCAGCCAACCTGCAATAGCCCACGCAACCAGAGAGAAGGATAAGTGCCTGTATCTGCGTGTGCATCGAGGAGACAGAAAATGAAGTAAACAAGACAGAAAGCTAAAAGAAGCCATCTGCAAACCAAGGATTTCCAAGACACTCAACAAAACAACAGTCAATCATGTCAAGCATAAAAAACTTTCAGCAGCACAAAAACATAATCCATGTCTTGATGGAAGTTCTTCTCAACCATTAAACACTACAAGGAACAGATGAAGATTCACTTGGGGAGTCTGCAGTGGACTTGGGGACAAATTTTGTCTCGCTTAGGCCTCAGGTTATCCCACACCTACCACAGCAACACAACCGCCATTGCAAAATGCAACCCCAAGGTCTAGCAAGACCCTGACCTGGGAAAATAACTGCACGTAAAAGGCAGTTACAGGAAAATTTCTGGGCAAGGAAAAGGAATTATCTTATTTTCTTTAGCTCCCAGCACGGCTACAGATTAAGACCGCTGTAAACAGGGGAGTGGGACAACAAAACAGCTTGAAAACTGCCTCTGCAAAGAGGTTGATCCTGACCCATCCTTTCTTTTAGAGATAAGCAAGTGGAAGTATTTGCTGCCACAACTTCCCCAAGGCCACATACAACAAACGTGGAGTGAAAGTCTACACCGTGTTGTAAAATGACTTGATTACAACTGGGCAAGTGTTTCTTTGGCAAACAGTGAATGCATCTATTTTTTCCCCAACAGAGTGGTGTGAAAGGGGGAGAGAAGGAATGCTTTTACAGCACTCCAAATGTATCATGTTGATTTATCATTTTCAAAGCATGCTTCCATTTTTCTCCCTGGGAGGGGGGGGGAAAGAAAAAAAAAAAAAGAAAAAAAAAAAAAACCCTGAAAATTAAATATTTTGTTTCAGTTTAACCAACTTTTTTAGAAACAACCACCTCCCACCCCATCCTACTAAGCCATTGAAATATCCCTTATTCACACAGCTCCGGAACCACGCTCCTACCCCACAGTAATATATTTATAGGAAAACTTAACAGCAGTTCTAAGTATCTTTAATTTGATTGGCAATAAAAGCATTTCCTTCCCCATCCCCACGGCACCTCCCAAGTCTTTTGTCTGCTGCTCCTCAGGGAGACTTGTCCAATTTACTGTGAAGGCAGTTTGTACAAACTGGAACAAGCATTGCCTAACATACTGGATAAAGATAAAAAAGATTTAAAAAAAAAAAAAATTATCACATCTTTGTCCTCATCACCTAAAATACAAATGAAGGAAAAAAAAAAAACCCACCTAATCCAGACTAAAAAGGATATCCATCCTGCCAGAAGCATGAATTTATATTTTAATGACACGTAACTCCTTCTTGCCTTGTATATCCTATAGTCAATCATGTAGTGAATATCATAGTAGGATGTAGGATGTCAAGGAAAGGGTTGGTCCATGCTTCTTGGGTTGGGAAAGGTACTGGCAGGTAAAACCAAATAGGCAAAATGTTTTAAAGAGTTACCCTATAATACATCAGTCTCCATTTAGAGGGAAATCCAGATGGGCAGCATAATCAGCAGTAGGAATGAAAGCTAAAGATTTCGACATGGAAGAAATAGGTTGGAGAGTACTTTAGACATGTTAGATGTTTTTAAAGCTGAGTTTGTCCGTGAAACACATGAACATGCTGGAAAGAAGTGGAAGAGGAGGACAGGTATAGATATATTGGACAAATCCAGCAAAGAGTCATGAAGGTTAAGGGATAGGAGCATCTCACATATGAGGAGAGCGAGGTCTGTTCAGCCTGGAGAAGGGAAGGCTCAGGCAACGTTTATTAATGTCTATAAATGTCTAACGGGAGGAAGCAAACATGATGGAGCCACACTTTTCTCAGTAGTGCTGAGCGACAGGATAAGAGCCGATGGGGTTGAACTGAAATACAGGAAATTCCACTTAAAAGAAGAAAAAAACCAAAAGTTGTTTGGTTTTTTTGGGGTTTCTTTATGGTGAGGGTGGTCAAACACTGGCACAGGCTGTGCAGAGAGGTGGTGGGGACCCTCATCCTTGGAGATATTCAAGCCTTGACTGAACATGGGCCTAAGCAACCAGCTCTAGGTGATCTTGCTCTCTGGAGGGTGGCGGACAAGATGACATTCAGAGGCTCCTTCCCACTCCAGTGGTTCTAAGATTTTGCAATTTTCCTCTTCTGCTGCCTGAGCCACTGCCTGAAGCAGACTGAGAGTCATTCATGGCCCCCTTGGCAGATCTGGAGGATCCTTATTGTGCCTATTTACCAAATGGGAAGAGAAAGGAAAAGTAAGAAAATAGACTCATTTGCATCTCCTGCAAAAACACCGGAACAGATTCACTGAAAGCATCTGATGGTAAAAATCGGTAACAGCCAGCATGCATCTGAGAACGGGTCATATCAAACCAACACTAACTGCGTTATGCAACAAGTTAAAAGGCAGTGGAATGAGCAGAAAACCAGCAGATATTACAGTTCTATGCTATTAGGGGTTTCTTGCATGACAGAACAAATGGATTGGAGGTGCAGATGATTTTTTTTTTTTCTTAATTAGAAAAATACACCCAATGGACTGTTGTCAAAACCAAAGAAAAAAATTGTCTACCAAACCCTGCTATCACCACTTGTATTATGAGTACTGAGCTGGGTGATGGAATGGGGATTAGTCTCATTAAAC